TATTTAAATAGTGTTCAATTACAATTTTTAGTACTTAAACATACTTTTTTGGAACAACTTCAAGTTGCACTTAGTGTTCTTTAAGTATACTTTTTTATGTACTATTCAAGAGTTTGATTAGTATATTTTGAGTGGAAGTCCAGGAGGAAGTGCGTTCAGACCCCAGCAGGTGAAGTGATGCTAATTTAAGTGAAGTGAAACCCCTGATTTAGATCGGAGCAACCACGACGATCTAAATCACATTACAGGATGATTGGTTACGAAATCACCAGCGACAATCTTAGAACGTCCAACGAGCTAAGATTATCTTAAGGGAAAAATGGGGGCAAAAAGTCGTGTAGTATGAACTATTGCATTAGTTAGTCGGATGTACCCATCTTCTCTATCTAAATCTAGTGATTACTGAAGGGCAATATAGTATACAGACTTCATAATCTGCACTCTTTTGGTTGAATTGCAGTATTTATTTCCACTTTGGCTTTATGTTGTTTAATTTTTATTCAAGTACTTTTTTTGTTAATGGAGACTGAGAATCCATTTTATTTTTGTTTTTGGTTGTTCTGGTTATTTAGTTTATCAGTTCCAGTGTTATGTGTTCTTTTGAAAATAAAGTGTATCTATCTATGGCAGGAAATTGCATGCATTATTAGTCATTTCCATTAAATCAGTGTCAAAAGGTATTGAAACAATATTATCGTTTATCGCAACAATTTTTTAGACAATTAATCGCTCAGCAAAATTCGTTATTGTGACAAAAAAAACATGAAAGTTATTACTTTAAAGAACAAAAATTATAATTACATTGTGCTTTCAATATATTACCATTTTACTAACACTTTATTTGATTGGGTGTGCATAAGACTGACATGACACTGTCATAAACATAACACCTGTCATCCAACTTTTAAAGCAAATTCTCCTTAAAATTGTCATTATTTACTGAATGACACTTCATGACACCGTTGGTATGTTCCTAACATGAGACAGGAAAGTCTTTAGGTTTTCTAACACCTGTTTTCTCTGGCTTCCTCTTTCATCTTCATTTGCTTAGTTAGACTGCAAACATATGTTGAAGATAAAAACATTGATGAACGAGTTAGAACAACAACCTCACAATATCAAAGTCTCTTTGTCTTATGGAGCTTAATTAAAACCAGGTTAAGTTTATGAATAAAAGTATAAGTCACAATAAACAGCCTCCATGCATTTATAACATGAAGCTGAATGATTGCTATAGTAATAATCATACAAGTCAATAAAATTGATAAAATAATTATTTATGAAACCAACGTAAGTTATATATCTTTACTGCACTGTTTATAACTAAATGAAGATAATTAATAAGCAAACTTACCACCAGCTAGCAACACTTAGCAGCCTTCGTTCCTCCGGGCTCCTTTTGTGACACATTTCATTTCCATCGGTTGTTGTCCAGTTGTGTTGTCGTCTAACTCGGACTAGGACGTCACCAGCTTGAATTTACCAAAATTAGTAACTATTGTCAAGACCCTCTACTTTTAAGGCAATATTATGCGAGTAAAAATGGCGAATTTGAACAGCGTCTGTTATCTTCCCTGCGTTCAAGTTTTTTCTTCTCTTTGTGGCGTTTTTTTAAATAAATGAAAGTGTGCAATACTGCCACCATCTGGTCTGGAGTATGAACTGGAGCTAATGCCGTTGACTTATAGATCTTACATCATACATCTGAAAATGTATTGGGCAAAGCCAACTTTCGTGTTTTTGTTAAAAAACTGAAAACAACAGATCATATTCGGAGAGATGTAAAGCTGAAGATATCTGCTACATTTATTGTTAAGGACAAGTATTATTTTTGTAATAGCACCTCTGTCACTAAAGTGTCAATGTTTGATATTTTGAGGCATGAACACATTAGTTACTTTGTTATCAACATTATATCAGGATTATAATTTTTTTATTCTTTGCCATGTTAACAAAGTAGTAAAAGATTATTAAAGCACCTAAAAGGCATACTTTATTAGCCTAATGTATACATTGAGATGTAATTTAAAACATACTGAAATTAATCATTTAAAGCGTGAAGTGGATTTCAAAAATGTCTATTTCGAGAATATATTTTAAAATATACACAAAATGTATTTGACAGATATTTTAAATATCTTTTATATATACACCTGAGCAAGTGTATATTTACGGTTGGGCAAATACATATTTTGTTCACTTAAAGTATACTTTTATTTTGTTTGGTGCAGCTCAACTTGAAACTGTGGAATTTAGATCCAAACGTGTGGCAATGGCGTTAAAGGTTACTTCACCACGCCCACCTGCTCCACTGAAATCAGTCGGTGTTGGAATCCACATCACAGCAACATGTCTTCTGTCTCTGGACACAGTTTTATGTTGATTTGGTCAAAGGGGTCAGATAGTGACTGTTCACAGTAAAACATGACACTTCCTGTTTTCAGGGGGTGTGGCCTAAGTGATGTCATCATTTGACTATTGGGTATTGTAGGCAGTGATGTCAGACCACTTTTTTGACCACTTTTTTCAGTAACTAGTAATCTAATGCGTTGCATTTTCTAATACAGTAGTAAGACTACAGTTACTTAACAAAATCACTTTGCGTTACTATGTTCTTTTGTAATTTAATGTTATTTCCTCTACGCATCTTGGGGAGCGACCGCTGCGACATTATCAGCAGCAACAGAAACGTAAACAATGGAGGGAGAAGTGAGATGAGCATTTCGTTGTTGGAAAAACAGGAACTATTTTGAGTTTCTGTCACCAAGTCCGATTATTATAAGCGGCTTTGGGCTTGTTTTGTTTCTAAAGTCGTTTGCAGATTTAATGAATTGCGGGTTGCACTTTTTGGGCTCGTTTTTGAACGTGAAGGTACTCATTTGGGCTTGGAAATAAGCAGAGACCCATAATAAATCCCAGAATTTGCCTGTCATCCAGGTCGTTTACGTCAGATTCTCCCTGTCCATCATTTCCCGGATGATTCGTCCTGCTGTGTCTTTGTTAATGTGAAGTTAATCTATTTGCTGCGAATCACGTTGATCTTTGCGTTGCGCTCCATTAAACTGCAAACATTGAGATTAATATAAGCAGCACAATAAACGTGAAAACAGCCATGAATGGACGTGTCCATAAAGTTGTGCAGCTAAACGCCACTATAATAATTAATATTAAGATAAGTGTCACAAATCTGTGCAGAAATGTATTAAGTTGTGGAGCCACAGCAGGAGCACTGTGCTGCGCTCCGAGAACAAATAGGGCCGTAACACAGAATCTGGACGCTGGGGTAGGGGGATGAGGGATTTAAAATCCTTCTTGGAATTTTCCAGACAATAGTGGAATAGTGGAAAACACAAATTACAAACTTTTTTTTTGCACTGTTGTAACCATTAAACACTCTCCCCTTCAATTCAACCACATAAGTGGAGAGACATTGTTGATGTTACCATTATAAAATAACTTGCAATTAAGTATTGGCAAAGATCAATGTAATTTTCACAGGTGGTGGAGCGTTTTGTTAGCAGCTGCTGAAAGAAACTAAAAAAGTTACTTTTAACGTAACTTAGTTACTTTCCAAATCAAGTAGTCAGTAATCTAACTAAGTTACTTTTTCAAGGAGTTGTCAGTAATCTGATTAAGGTTACTTTTTCAAAGTAAGTATGCCATCACTACCTTCCACAGAAACTTTAGCAAATAGGATAATCCGCAAATAGCATTAGTGCTGTCAAAGTTGACGTGGAAATTGGGCATTATCACAAATTACTTTTAACAGCATTTTTTTTTCACATGCAGTAAACACAAGTTTCTGTACTTTTTTAGAACTCATCTGCTCTGTAGTTTCAGCATTATTTCCTTCTCAGCTTCAGCTGTTTCTCTATGGAGCTAATCTCCTGTTTCTTCAAAAAGTCGTCTCTTTTGGAAACAGCTCCACTCTTTCTCCATCTTTTCTAGTTTGTACTCTGCTTGAGAGCATGCAGAGCAGCTGTGGGCACCACTTAATCGTGGCTAAAAAGGAGAGAAACAGTATAAACTTGTGGAATTATTTTATTGTTGTAGACAAAAAAAGGTAGGTAAGAATCATTCCACATGCAATAATTCACTACTAAAGAGGGAGAGTATTTTCTGTTCATATTATGTCGTTGCAAATTAAACTCTGTAGTATTCAATAAGTAAAACAGAGAAAAGTTAGTACTTTAGAACTCACCTTACTGATTAATAAATAAAAAAAAAATCCATAAAAAATATCTTTTGGGCTTAGTAATATTAAAAAAAACAGGCTTAGTAATACGTTTTTAAAACAAATTCCTACAAATAGCTTATTAATGTGCAATCATTAAAGCGATCTTACAAGTTTTTTGTTTGTCAACAGAGACATTTCCGTCATGGGCCAAAGGTTTCCTGGTTCTTCTCGTCTTTCTTCTTGTTTTTGGAGGCTTTCTCTTTCACTTCCGGCAATATCTCCAGTCAGGTAAGTTTTATTTTATAATACCTAAAAGGCTAACAGGTTCCTCTTAAGGGTTTGTGAGCGTTTTTAAAAATAAAAAAAATTTTAGTATCAGAAATTATTTGTTGAAAAAAGACAGATGTAAATAAAAGCATACAGCTATAAAAGCTATTTGCAATTTAAATCATAAATAATCCAGCTCCAATCTCTCACCTATAGTCACTGCTGTAAGACTGACACAATATTGATGTCTTGAGTTCATTTAGCACAATTCAGCATTCTATCCTTAAAGACAAGCTAGTTCTGATGGGAATTTAGTCTCTTTTCAGGGAGCCAGCTCTCTGGGCTTGGCTCCCAAAGAAGAATCAGCTCTTTCACATCTCTCAAACAGTTAATTTATTATTATCTGCAACCCCATATATTAACATATGTTGGCAAATAGTAATATTTTATATGATAAATCCTTTTGCATTCAATGTTCTCTATATGAGAAGCTTTATGCTTCCTTAGATCATTTTATGCTTTTCTTCTGTTGTGAAAGCAGACATTCTTACTTTGTATATTTTCTATAATAGCTTTCATATTTAACAAAAACAAATTAAAAACACTGGAAATAAAACTACCAAACACAGACTCATCCATCCATTATCTTACATGCTTATCCCTGGTGTGGTCATGAGGCAATCATGCACACACACGCACACGCGCGCGCACGCACACAGACACAGACCTTAGGAGAATATAGAAAGATCAATCAGTCTAACAGTCATATTTTTGGACTGTGGTAGGAAGCCAGAGTACCTGGAGAGAATCTACCCATGTATAGGGAGAACATACAAACTCCACTCAGACCCCGGGCCAATATTCCAATCAAGGTCCTTCTTGCTGCAAGGCAACTGTGAGGTCAACTGCACCACTGGGCAGCCCACCCAAACAGACCCATAATAATAATAATAATAATAATAATAATAATAATAATAATAATATTTTATTAGAAAATATACTTAATTTTCAGCCAGACGCTGCTTCACTTACAGGTGAAGCTATATTTCTGGGTTTTTGTGACACACTCTCCTCCTCACCACTGTCTATTGACTGAGGGGATGGACTAATGTGTTTTCACATAATGGCATAATCCCATATCCTCACACGTGATTGGCCACAAAGCTGCTAACGGAGGCTAATGCATGAGCTGTAGATCCGAGGCTGTAGTAAATTGCGCACTCTTCAGCCTTAAGAAAAATATTGTGCTTAACTACGTGCTTTCTCAAATTAGACATGTTTCCACTGCTGGCCTTGAACTTCACGGCGCAAATATTACAACGAGCGTAATTTGCATCGCATTTTAAAAAGTGGAGCCATTACTTTGAGCGATTTCTATCGGTCATGCTTACTTTGTTTACAGAACTAGCGGTTGCTGACGTCATTACACTCTTGCTATGCTGCAAACAGGACAACCATAGAAAATCCGCCACTCTTCATACTGTCACAATGATGCATTTAGGTAACGAAACATGACACTTTTTTTATTTTACTAGGTAGTACCAACAGAATTCTAAGAAGTGATTTAAAATTTTCTTATCTTATCAGTTCTAATCTGGAAAGGCAACTTATTCCAGAGAATAGAAGCAGCAATAGAAAAGGCTTGTCTTCTTTGCTTTTAAGTCGAGTCCAAGGGACTTTACAACAGCAGTTTCCAGACATGTAACCTCATGCCAGACATTGGACTGGATTTTACTTCAATGTCATTTGAGAATGTTAATTCCTCATTTTCAACAGGGCAGTTATGCAGGTTGAAAAAGGTTATAATTTTGGAGAAACATCAATATTTCCTCAAAATAAGAGACGCATGTATGATAGAGAAAAAGCCAGCAAGTTGCCTCTCAAACTCTGCGCTCAAGGCAAGATGCCAGAGATCACCAAACAATTTTTTTTTTAGTATTGGACAATTAATTTAATAACACAATTGTCACAGTTAAATACTTAATGAAATATTTTTGTCTTATTTAATGACCGATGTTTTGGTGACCCAGCTAGCAATCAAATGGTCAGACTACGTCTGCCAAACGTAGTCTGAAAGTCGAATGTCAAATGCTCGGACTTGACGTTCTCCAGGAATTGTCTGAAAATTCGTGCATTATTGAAAAAAATATTTATTTTTTGCTGTATTTTTATTTAATCAATTTCAATATCTTTATTAAGACCTTTATGGTGGCTAATATTTTTGACAAAATCTCTATTTTTGTCTTTTTAGAAAGTCTGCATTTCTGAATCTTGTCTGAAAGTCTGAACATCCGTGTGCGACATTTTTATATGCCGTTACTAACTTCAATATCACATTTAGACACTAGGGGGCTCCGCGCCTTGCCAAGCATTATTTGAACTCTGTTCAAAAAATGGTTATGTTAATGATAAAATGATAGCTCTCATTTTCTTTTCTGCATAATCTACATTGCATTTATTCTAACATATCTAGGGTTGCCACCCGTCCCGTAAAATACAGAATTGTCCTGTAACTGACTGTTAAGTGTAGCGTCCCGTATTGAACCGATTCAGGACGCGATTTGTTCCGTATTCTACAAATGTGTATGTGTAATAATAAAGAAGTTATCCCCAAATACACAGCAAATTTGAAAGTGTTCCATCAACTCCTACAGAGTTAAATTCAACATTTTGAAAGTGTCTATATTGGTTCACTCTGGATGGCGTAGAAATTACACTTTGAAATTGTTATTTGTGATATAGTTCAATCAACACTCACAGTAGTTGAAATTAAACATACATCAGTGTTGACTTACTCAACATTAGTGTTTATTGTTAAAAGTTAATACTACGAATGTGTTAATCTAACACAGAAGTGTAAAGTATATATTAACATAGAAATCTGAGTTTTGAAATACTAGTGGCAGGGTGTGCTGTGGCGGTGCAGGGGTTAACCACAATGCACATATGGAGGCTCTAGTTTTTAATGCGGCTGTCGTGGGTTCGCTTCCCGGTCTTCACATTCTCATTACTCACTTTTTTTTGTCAATTTACTACCAAATAAAAGCCACTAGAGCAATTAAAACCTTTTTTTTCCAGAAACTACTGGCCATCAATAATCCCCAAAATCATTTTAAGACATTCGATGCTACAAAAACACCAGCACCAGTTGCAGTATGTAATCTACTTTTATTTCAAAACATCAAACAGCACTGACAGCAATATACAACAAAGGTCACACATTCATGGTACTTTGCACTGAAGGTGAAGTGTGCTTTGAAAGTTCATTGGAAGCGGCCATGGATGGTCTTGTGATCACTGATGGTGAAGTGTCTTTGGTGCTGCTCTTGTTTTCGCCAACATGAAGGAGGAAAACTTGCAGCCTGGAAGGAAAAACAGGAAATATAGCAGACACATTAGGATAATAAATACATATTTTAAAAAGAAGTGTGAATAAAACTAATCAGACTCACCTGT